TCTTTTACCACTGATAAAGGAATATTCATAGCTCATATCTATAAGAGAAACATTAACAAAAGCTGATTTGAAGTATTACAACTGTCATGAACAAAGAAATGGAATCTGTCAGGAATTATAAAAAAACAATATTCATATCGTCTTCAATGTGTTAAAAGTATACTTGAACATATCTAGGCTCATAGGTGTAACCATGATTACAAATCTTTTATATAAAATAGAAACAACTAAGAACAATATTTAGTTGTGTCGTCCAGCAACTTTACACTTTTCAAACGATCGCATCCATCTATCATATGGATGAAACAAAATTATTCACACTTAAAACTCTACCTCCTGAGAGTGAGGACTATGGATTAAGAAATTAACAACTTCTACATCTACACTCTACACCTTAGTGAGATATTCGAGTTAATCAGATAGCGTTTGTTTTCATAGCGATTCTGAGTTCATTCAAATATACAGAGAAATGAATTAGAATAGCATACAGTCTCTGGTTTTAAACATAAAAATTCATTGCTGACTAGAGAGATATGATGAAAAGAAAGAGATGTAGAGAAGCAAAGAAATTTTTTACAATCCTAGAAAATACATGTAAATTGTTTTTTCAAAAAAAAGAGGAGAAAGAGGTTGTTCAATGGTATTTTCTTATAACGAGAGGAGAGTTTTTAATATATAAAAAACAATAAAACTTAGGCATGTGAAAGCTAAAAATTTTGCAACACTGAGGGATGATGCACGTTCCTGCCTCCAATCCCATCTCTGCATCGCTACATCTCTATTGTCCGAATAAGTCATTTTTTCTTTGAGCTAAACTTTTTCAATTGGATTAAGTTCGTTTATTTTTATGCGTAGACGTGTTCACGAATTTTCCTTGCATTTATAAGTATTGATTTTTGAGGGTGTGGGTGTGAGACGTAGATGTGGGATGTGGATCTGAGTGTAGGAGGGAATATCTCCCTCATCCAGACGTACATTCACATACCCACACCTAATTCTGATTCTAAGCTACTACTTTCAATTCTCTTCAATTACATTCAAGTATCCGAAGAATGAGTAAACATATGTACCAAAATCTGTAAAACTAACGATTTGTACAAATGTCATTCTTGGTACTCATCAAAAATTCACTCTCAATGTATCAGATTTAAGTCAGAAAAAAGTTCGAAATATATATTTGCATAGAGTATGAAGTTCTTGCTTTAGCCGGCTGCTTTTCGTTTTCTTCTGCAACTTTTAAGTGGACGAAAATGAAATAAGAATGCTTTAGATAAACTTTTTACACACAGGTTATACTACTCATACGCCATAGTATTAGGCTGAAAACTTAAACAAAGCTTCTTCACGACAATGCTACCATACTTAAAAAATTTTATACAATTTTCATGTGTTTAAAATTTCAATATGCACCTAAGTCGTAATGAAAAAGGTTTTGAATAGGTAGAAAAGTTAAGATAAATGCTATGAAGCCGTTCAAAATGTGTTACAAAAGTGAGATAACTACATTCAATTAATAAAAAGTTAAATTAATGACGGATAAAATCATCTACTATCCTCTGAAATATTACTTCCAAAACTCACACCCATTCTGTAAGGAGATTTAGATATAGGAAGAATGATTTCTGTGTAAGATTACAATGGATGTTTTTGTATCAAGTTGTTCTTTCATTTTCTTTTTTTTCCGATGGAAAACAAGTGTACAAAAAATATTCTGCATTGCAAATCAGCGATTTCTTATATCCTTAAATCAACATTCATCAGTACGATGCTCACTATTTCGCCCAACTTTTCACAAATATCGTCATTCTGAATATTCATCAAAGACCATTCTATACATGCTGCATAACAGTATTATTCATCATTTAAATAACACAAGTTTTGGACTTAAATTGTTTTTCATTACAGATCGATTCGTGTTATTCATTTCAGATGTATTAGTAATCTGTTTGCATATATTACTCATAAATAATACTACAATATGAAAATATTCCAACAAGAAATTGCATGAATTCCCCGTGTTTATTCTCACGTCTCGATTCTATAGAAAGCCAGGCTTTGATCTTTATTAATCCAATTTCAATTATTACAAGAATAAGTATTTTATTTTTAAATATAGTTTTTGGTATGAGTAGATTTGGTTTAAAGATAAAAAAATAATAGATGAAAGCCGGCCGTGTCGTTTGTTTTAGTTTTCTTTCTAAAATTGACTTATATGCTGTGAGTACTTAAAACAAACTTTAAAATTTAATTTCTTTCTTTTGTATTAAAGACATAACCAATTAAATTTTTATGATGTTACCAAAGATTTCATTGTATATGACTATTTGTATGAAGTTTTGTCAGCCAAGTTTCTCGCTAGAGATTGCTCTTGTCTTATCACATCCTTTTTACATATATAATGTTTAAATAAATCAAAGAAAAAATTCATTGGATTAGTAGACTCATATCAAGTTAATCATCACTGATGTATTGATTCATGAAATACTATTGAAACTATTCTATTTAAGCTCTATTGTATTGTAAAATTTCAACTTTTAATTAATTTTTTGCATTACCGTTGATACGGATTTTATACCTCCCGATATAAAATCTATTGCTGAAGCTCTTGGTAATATTAAACAGGTCTAATAAGTTATTCCTCAAAGAAGTCTAACGAACAAAAACAACTTTCTATGAAGAGTCCGCTTACTCGCATGTATTGCTTCTGTCTTTTTAAATAAATACATCAAACATGAAAAATGAGTATATACAAATTTCATAAACAACAAATATAAATCTAACTATTTGTAAAGAATTTTCTAAGTATTTAGTTGATTTTAACACAATAAAAAATAATACTTATGTTCAACAGATTCATTCAATCTACTCTCGATGTCTTAAAGATATTGTACAGAAGAAGATATGCATTATGACTGTCTTGGTATCCTATATGGATGACTCCTGATGTACACAAAATGCTATTGCCTTATATATCGTTTATTATTGTTGTAGTTACCAAGAGGCATGCAAAGAGCTGTAAAAAGTGAGCTCACCGAGAGTTTTTCAGCCAGTACCAAAACCTAGTGACGATGATTGATTGAGAAGTAATAAAGAAAAAGAACAAACTCATTCATCTCTTTTTTTTTCTGGTGATAAGACGCTTCTGCTCTTGTCTGTTCTGTGCTGCTTTTCCGCTTCTTTTCTTTTTCTTTCGTTGTCACTGAATCTAAGTTTGTAACTTTCGATTCGAGTGACAAATGTCCTCGTCTAGTGGACATCCACTTAATATATCTGAACAACAGAAAACAGTTTATATGTCGGAGGATAACCCGGGTCCGACTACAATGTCAAATAATACTACTTGTATTACTAATCATGAAGTATCGAAAGAGCAACAAATTGTTTATGGCACGGCTCCAGTATTATATCAACCGTACAGAATGCCTCAATCTTATGTGTGTGTTCAACCTACAGCAAACAGTCAAATTGTTAATCAATATTCACCAAATCATATAGTAAATCAACACCAACATTATCAGCAACAAGTACCATTCACTAGTAACGCTCCATCTGCGTATGTGCAACAAGCGATGTTTCATTCAAACATGAATCCGCAACAAGCGATGTTACATTCCAACATGAATCCACAACAAGCATTATTGTCTTCTTATCATCCGGGTGTTAATACTAATATTCTGCTTTCTTCATCAATGACTAATCCTAATATTTCATCAACACCAATATCTGCTACTACCAAGAGAGGTCGCAATGACACCAGTGGCGTTTCGGAATCGAATGGGCAAGAACGACCGCAATATTATCAGACAACTCGTATTTTTAATGCTCGTAATACACCTAACAAGCGTCATCGGGGATTTAATCAACAGCAAAAAGAAAGTTGGCAACAAAATCAGTACAATCAAAACCGGGAAGAACAACGTACCCATGATATTACAGAAGGAAGAAACACCGCAGAATCAGCATACGACAATCAACAACCGTCAATGGCAGCCTGTCGATATGCTACATCTCGTTTTCCGTTCTCACCGTTCTCGATAATCTTCTCGCAACAAGCTCGCGAAAAAATCGTCATCGATGATCTAATTAAACATGCAAGCGATAATTGTCATTTTGAGTTAAAAACTGTTGCTTATCGACGTGGTCGTTCGGAAAATAATGAGTGTCGGATTCTTATTTTCGTCGAGAACAGCGAATCTTTTTCGTTCCTATACGAACGTAATAACTGGCCTACAACACTAGCCGGACAAGAATTTACAACAAAAAGTCCATCAATTCCTCCACAGCTATCGTTAGTTATTCCGGCTGTCTCATTACAAATGGAATGGGAGGATTTCGTACATGATCTGAAAGAAAAATACCCGGGCATAGCAAACATTATACGTTTAAAAAATAAAGCACAACAACCAGTACGAGCAGTTAAACTGGAATTTTTATCGGCGAAAGTACGCAAGGAAATATTAGAAGCAAATGAAATCACGGTCATGCATTTAAAACTAAAAGTAGTCGAGTTTTTTACACATGCCAATGTATTGATTTGCTCAAACTGTTACGGAATAGGACATTTTAGAAAGAATTGTCCTCAGAAAAATGAAGCAACATGTAAAACCTGTGGAGAGAAATGTGCAAACTTAAAGGATCATCAATGTTCCGGAGTGCTAAAATGTGTTCATTGTGGTGGACCACATATTTCAAACGATGCAAAATGTAAAGTAGTACAGGACTATCGAGTTGCTCTCACTCGTAATCTTCTTTCAAAATTGGACTCAGCAAACACAGAAAATCATAATACGGGTCTTATTTATAGCAGTAGTATCCCGTCTGCTAGAACCACTCAGGGTGGATCCTATGCTGACATGGTTAAAACAATGTCATCAAACGCAAATGAAGTAGTCCTAAAAAAACTAGATAGTGTCTTAACAAAAGTGGAAGAAGAATCCAATGTAACCCGTCAATCCTTAGAAGAATTTAAACAAGAAATGAGAAATAGCTACAATGAACCGAAACAACAAGTTATAGAAATAGAAGAAAAGGTGAAAGAAATGGAGAAGAAATTGGTGGAATTCTCAGGACGGATTGGTGAGATTATGCAGAACATATGCACAACTCTATTGGACCCACCAAGCTCTCAAGGACAACAATGGAAATTGTATTGGCAAGAACAAATTAAAACATTGATTGAAGCCAGGGCATCGTTATCAAAAGCATCGCTATGATTAATACAACTACTGATAATTATAAATATGTTAATCACCATTATAAACATAACATTAAATTACCTCGCTTTCTAGATCAAGCTAAAATTACGCTTTCATCAACAGAGTTTTGCTTACTTAAGGATATTATCGACGAGTGGCATGCGGCTTCTTCTCTCAATGTATTAGAACTCGAATGGAAACAACATCAAAGAAAGAAGGAACGACGGGGATATTTTTCTTCTTCTTTAAATATTCTTTGCTTCAACGTTCGTGGTCTCGATATACGCTGGGGAGAAGTCTGTCTCTTGGTCAAGCAGCATCTTTCCGATGTCATAGTCTTAGGCGAAGTAGGGCGTGTTGATTTCGCCCTAATAAGTGCTGCACTATCTAACCATAATGTATTTTATCAAAGTGGCGAAAATGCACATGGTGGTGTGCTTGTCATGGTGCGTAAAGATATTTCAGCTGTTAGAGTAACCTGTTCATTACCAAACATTTGTGCACTCGATCTTCAATTTGACCAGACAATTAGACTAATAGCTATGTATGCTCCAGAGAGTAAAACGTGGAATTGGACAGACCTCACTCCATTAGTTACCAATTGTTGTATGATCTTAGGTGATTTTAATATTGATATTGAACAAGATGGTGAAAAAGCAGATAGACTTCTCGAGTGGATGGATTCATGTTGCCTTGGGCCGGTAGTTCCTGATTCCAACACATCACTTCGCTCGGGTCGAACTATTGATTATGCTGTTACAATCGGTGTTGATCTAACAATTCAAGCTTATGAAGGTGATACCACTAGTGATCATAAACCTCTATTAGGTGTACTGGTTGGCGATAAAACCTCCACAGACGAAGGATGCAGAACAATATGGCCTGTTTTCACTCTAATGTTATCTTACATATTTGATTATTGGGAAAAAGAATGGAACACAGAGTCTTATGATATATCTTATGAGCGGTTTATCTCTTTTCTTACATTACTCATGACCAGATGTCAACAACATTTTACGCTTAACCATGCTAGACCATCCATTCCACAGAACCTTGTGAAACTACTGGCTCAGAGCCGCTCGTTATCGTTCAAAGCTAAGCGGAAGGGAGATATTGAACTACGAAAAGAAGCTCGTCGTCTACGTAACTTAGCACGCTTCGAGTTAAAAGTTTTTCAAAAGGAACAATTAGCCAAACAGGTAAAAGAAAGGCACTATCCAGGTGAAACATCTCGGCTATTCTGGAGTAAAACAAAAAGACATTTTCGTCAAGTTTCGTCATCATTAAGGGGGTTCTTGTCTCCAGGTGGAGAAATTATAAAAGACTCGCAAATAATGGCCAATATGGCAGCTGATCATTATGAAAGATTATTTGAAGCACCAGTAGTGATACGTCCACACCCATATGTCGATGCTCCTCCAGTACAATGGGAAAATGCAGCTGATCATATACCGAAGGTTACTTATCCAGAAATATTAAATATTTTACGTTCAAGAAAGAAAAAACAGTCTCTTGATATTCATGGACTCTCACCATTTATACTTGATAAAATACCCCAAAACTATTGGCATCTACTAGTACAACTATACAACTATTCTTTTACTGAAGGATACATTTTAAAGAAATTTAAAGAAGTTAGAATGATACTGTTAGCAAAGAAAAATGCGGTGTGCTCACCAGATCAAACTAGACCAATCTCTCTGCTCGATTCTTTTCTGAAAGTACAAGAAAAATTATTTCATAATCGATTTTTAAAAATCTTAAATGACCGAGGTATTTTACCAGATAACCAATCGGGATTTCGTGCTGGATTTAGATTACAAACACGCGTACTGCTGCTCGTCGAACAGATATCATCATACATGTCAAACAGCTCTCCAACTGCGACTGTCTTTGTAGACTTTAAATCGGCGTTCGATCAGTTATGGTTCGAAGGATGTCTTGGGAAGCTTACAAGGATGGGAATTCCAACAGCCTTCGTCAATTGGATTCGAGCTTGGCTTAGTGATCGCAAAGCAGTGATTGAGGTACATGGCAATCCTTCACGATGGATCAAAATTAATCGTGGTGGTCCCCAAGGCTCTAGTGTTACACCGACGTTATTTATTACATACCACAGCGATATGGCTGATTTTATACCAGGTGCAATGTCTTTCTTCTTTGCAGATGATCTGGCTGCAGTTCTAGCCGGTCAAATAGGAATCAGATTTAAAGATCAATGCTTAGACCTGGAACGCCGCTTACACACTTTGTTTGAGCAACTAGAATTCTATGCAATACTTGCTGTACAACCGATTAATTATTCTAAAACACAAGCCATGTTCTCAGCAAGAGCTGTTAGTTATCCGAATCCCCTACCTCAAGTGCATTGTGGTGACCACAAAGTGGAATGGATCACCTCATTTAAGTACTTGGGGTATTGGCTCTCGACGAAGCTAGGTTGGGGAAATATCATCAGCAAGACGAAGCTCATCGTTCGTCAACGAACTGCCTTAGTGAATTCCCTCAGAATAAGTGGCACATCATCTACACATCTCAGACGTATTCTCTTTTCTACATTCGTCCTACCACATTTCACATGGCTATTTGGGTTATTCCCATTATTTACTGAATCACAGCGCACAAGTCTTAATCATCTGTATTTTACACTTTTAAAACGTGCTTATCGTTGTCAGGTGTGGGAGGATTTAATATTTTCATCGATGTATAATGAAAAACATCTAGATGATCATTGTTATGCATACTGGGAAAAATACTTAAAAGCTCTGGAGAAGTCCAAAGATGGTTATTTATTATGGGAACAATCGGAACTGAACGAGTATAGATCAAAATGGCAAGAGGGTGACAGTTCGATCCGTTGCCTTAGAAGATCAAAAAGATTCGTATCCCACAGGAATGTGCTAGAACAAGCAATAAATTGGATGGCAACCCATGGGACATCAGATTCAGTCATCCACTACAGTGACGAAGATCTTCTTTGTTTTGCACGGTTCCCTGATAGTTTCAAGTAACTACAACTATTAAGGTCACACTGACAAAAAAAGAAAAAGAATGCGGCATTAAAAGAAGGCAAGAGAGAATGAGAGAAGGGAGAACAGAACAATACTCATCGCCTTATAATAATGGTACCATATAAAATATTTTATCATCAAGTTAAACGCACATATATCACTCACGCACTCATCCACAAACTTAATATTTGCATCATTGATATCATCGCGCTGTGTCGGTTGTTTTACTAGTCGCAATGGTATTGTACAATTATTTACTCTTTATTTTTATGGTGTCGTTCGTTTTTGGAAGCATAGAAGACAGCACAGTAGACTTTCAAATCAATCGTTCGAGATTGGACAAGTTATTACTATCCGCTCTGGAAGCACATGAGAAAGAAATCGATGCTAGTCAACGTAATCAAAACAAAAATCAAGGATTGATTAATACATTGGTAAATCATAATAATCAGCTTAAACAGATCGAAAATAAATTCGAATTTGTTACTAACAATTTCGCTAACTCCAGTCACGTGAAAGAAATAGTCGAAAAGACCAAGGAAATCGAAAACCACGTCTACGGTTCTCCTCGGCCACATAAGTCATGGCGGGAACTTCTGCTGCTGCTAGTTGTTGGTAGTGCGGTGGTTCTCATCTTAGTTAAAATGTATAAAACGTTTGCTCTACCTCGAGTTAAACAATTCATTCGGGATATTGGCCGTAGCAATTCAAATAGAGCAAGTTCCATAAGTGAACAAGTTGAAATGCGTCACCAGAATAATAAAAACAAAAATAACTTGGACGATAAAATAATGTTAACAGATTTGCAGTTGAAAGATCAGTTTGATCGAATCAATGCTACGATGTGCACAATCAATGAAAACATGTTAAAAATAAAGGATCCATTTCGTGCTGAGTAAACTTGTCGTCCATAAAAAGTATTGTAAGAAGCAATGGTTGAACATCTCCTAAACTAAGACCCACAACTCGTCGTCAGATCATCTATCGTCTCTGCTTTTTTTTTTCTCCTCTTTGCCAATATATCATGCTTATCAGTAGGTGATGCTTTCTTTTTCTTTTCCTTCTTTTACACTTTCTTTTTCGTATCTTCATTCATTTTCATTTTGTTCTCTCTCTTCTTTTATGGTATTTTCTTTCCCTCATTCCACCCTAGCTTTATTATTATTTTTATTCTTGGAAGGATAAGAATGCTTTAATGTCAAGGCTGCCATGAGCTTCCTCCGTTGTCCAGTTCTTCTTTTTAAGATTTTTCTTCGTGGATACATTGTTTTCTTTTTTTTAAGCTCAATTGTCCCTTTAGGACCGTCAGGGTCATAGGGCAAAGAAAGGCAAAATAAAAAAAAAAAAAAAAAATAAAACATAGAACTGAATGAATGAATCGATCAATTGATCATTCAGGACTACACATTTTGTTATATTTTCATTATATATTACCGTTACTAATTTAGAAGAGAAATAAATCAAAACTATTGCGCTATTTAGAAATTCAACTTGATATCATGGCAATACACAAGGGGGGGGGGGGGAG